GCGTATATACAGTACGCGGAGCCATCTCTTTGGATGCATATAGGTATAAGAAACGAATGGATGGGTTTTCCACAAACCTGCTTGCCGATATTGCAAACCATAGCAGATGATGGGCGAATTTCCATCATCCAAAGGAAGATCCCATTTCAGCACGATCTCAGTGTCAGAAATTTCCCCCGGAAGTGGTCCTTCCATCACACCGGGTCGATGTGCAACCAAAAGCCTAATAAATATTCCTCGCATCATTCATGATTTTTTAAATATTCTATTTTTTTCTCGCCGTGCAAAAATCCAGTTTTCACAAAAAATTCAATCTCCGATCACTGTTGCAATGGATTTTCGACTTCATAAAATTATGCAGATAATTATAAACGTATCAAAATGGTCCTCAAACGGCGGTTACCAGTAACAACCATGAATATTTTACTTTAAAATCTCGGTACAACAGTGAAATAGCTTCGTTTCAACGAAACACTCTTCCTAAAGTATCTTTTTTTCGGACTGTGGCTTTTGAGCATCAGGGATCTAGGAGAAAGACTTATGGTGATAGCGATTATTTCGTTGAAAAGAGATTCTACTATACAATACATTTAATTTAAATTTATAAACTTGACATGCAGCGTACATCAAAACATTGCGCAGTTAGTTTTGACTCGTTTCAACATAGTTTTATGAGAAATATCATGTTGATTTTATTCATGAACTTCTTTCAAAAAATTGAAATGTAACTGAGACAATTAAAGCTGAATATTCATACGATCACTGACTGATCGGTCTTAAACGTAAAAAAAATCGGATGAATTACACCCGAAGAACGATTTGCGAATTTAATGCGTCTATTAAATCTCTAAAACATTTTAAATTACTTCATCGTTATTTTAAGGTTAATACAAATCAGTTTTGAATCGATCATGATGACAGGAATGTTCTAGGAAAGCCATCACAAAGCGTCAGTCAGTCACGTCATTTGACATGAGACGAACAATATTCCTTTATAATCAAATACAACTGATGGTGGCTTTCGTTGGACTGACCTGTACTTGTAAAAACTGGTGGAGGAATTGCAAGCAAAAACTAGTATCGCGTGATTCCCCCCCCCCCCCACAATCAACAGCAAATGAAGCTCATTATTTTCTAGTGGTGAAGAAAAAAGAAGACGGGACAAAGAGAGAGACTGACCGGCCTTTGCAAACAGTCTGGCCGTGTTTGTTCCTCGCCACGACTTTGTAAACACCGGTGTCTTCTTTGTTTGCTGGCCGAAACCTGAGGAAGGACCTGCCGTGATCGTCCTC